AGTGAGTGAGTGTGTGAGAGTGTGTGTGTGTGTGTGTGGGTGAGTGAGTGTGAGTGAGTGAGTGAGTGAGAGTGTGAGTGAGTGAGTGAGTGAGTGAGTGAGTGAGTGAGTGTGTGTGTGTGAGTGAGTGAGTGAGTGAATTCACTCACACACACACACACACACACACACACACACACACAGTTAATAATGAATGGCGTCTTACTGTAATCATGAGCTGAAGATGCGGCCGCTCAGCGTGGCTCCTGCTGTAAATCCTTCATGAAGCTGCGCGTCACACACTCGAGTGTGAACAGATCCTTTATGAAAACCAGCTCAAAGAATCAGCGGTGTGACTGACGGAGCTGTTGGATCATAAACCCCAGACTGACTGACGGAGGACCCGAGTCACGTCTGCAGACTGAAGATCACGCCACTTCCACACGCTTCTTCAAAAACTACTCAATTATTTGCACTTTTTGTCTTTTAAACCTCACGATCTTCATAGAGCTGATGAACACAGGGTTTATATAGGTCAATTAAACCATAAAAAATCCATTCCTTGAAATAAAATAAGTGCTAACTGAAAATATTAAAAATGTATTTCATCTAGTTTCCAAGGCAACATTTTAATTAAATTGATGAACTAAAATAACTAAACAAAAATAAAAATTCGATTGACATTAAAAAAAAAAAAACACTAGAAATGACAAAAACAACAAATTTACTAAAACTTTAAAATTAACATGAAAGCAGAAAATATATTTTAAAAATTAATTCAAAATACTGACAAAACCTATAATGGTATCTCAGAGAGACTGAAATAACACTGGACTGAATGATTCACGCTCATGAACGCAAGAAGTGCTGATGAAGATGAGCTGCGGATGAATCAGATGAAGATAGAACAGTGTGACCTCTGACCTTATATGTGGCCGCTCTCGTGCCGTCAGTCCCACAGTTCTGCTCTTCATCAGCAGCATGAGCCTCATCCTCCTCCTGCCGCCCAACACACACACACACACACACTCTCTCTCACATACATACACACACACAGAGAGAGAGAGAAAGAGATATACCCATCGATGAGTCTGGTGTGCTGGTCTTCCTCTCACTGTCACTGATGTCCTGTAGCTCAGACAGGGGGTTTTTATCATCCATCATAACCTCCCGCACTGCAAACACAAACGAAACAATGAGTCACGTCACCTTTTTTTGTACAGTGCTTTATACAATACAGTTTGTGTCAAAGCAGATTCACTGTGATAATCAGGAAACAACAGAAGCTCAAAACTCAACTATAAGGACATTAGGACACTGTAACATTTAAACATCTGTAAATATTTTTAGGAAATGTGCCTTTCAAATAAATGTTTTATTTGTTTGACAGGGAAAGACACCCCCAGACAGAAACACACACACACAAACACACACACACACAGACAGACACACACACACACACACAGACAGAAACACACACACACACAGAAAGTCTTTCAGAGATGCAGTGTTTTCAGTATTTTCACTGACCAGTCAGCTGTGAGCATCACTGCAGTTCATTCACAAACAATGTCACAAAATTATTCGATTTCAAATATTTATCATTTTGCAGAGGTGGACAAAGTACACAACTCCATTACTTGAATGAAAGTACAGACACTCAAAAATGTCCTTCGTAACCGTCCACCTCTGATCATTTGAATTATATAAAACATATAAGCTGATGGAGTTCCAAGGTATAAATATGTAGTTTTTCATAAACCAAACCATAACCAGTTTTTATTTACCAAACCAAAAGAGAAATAATTGATTTACTCAATTTTAGTGAGATGCTATAAAGTAAATTAAACTAAAACTGAACTAATGAAATGATCTGCAGCACATACATTAATGTTTATTAATATTATTAAAAAAAAAAAAACTAAAAATAAATTAATACATAATAAATACTCCCAATATCAGCAGATTTGAATGTTTTGGTGCTGTTTTTGCAAAAAGGCTGAAGTACTTTTGTGAAATCGGGCCGTGTCTCATCAGCGCTGATCAAACTCCAGAAACAGCGCTGGGACGAGCGTCACATGACCACACGTCACATGATCACACGTCACATGACCACACACCACATGATCACACGTCACGATCACACGTCACATGACCACACACCACATGACCACACGTCACGATCACAAGTCCACACGTCACATGACCACATGTCACGATCACACGTCACACGACCACACGTCACATGACCACACGTCACACGACCACACGTCACATGACCACACGTCACGATCACACGTCACGATCACACGTCACATGACCACACGTCACATGATCACACGTCACACGACCACACGTCACGATCACACGTCCACACACACCACATGACGCACCTGAGAGCTGCTGTCGTCCTGCTCTTCTGTCGGTCTGCTGCTCCGTGTCTCTCTCTCCAGCACTAGCTGAAGCTCGTTCTCCCCGACGGCGGAGCGCAATGCCATGAAATCCGGCCAGTGCTTGAGCAGCTCGTCAAACACACACGCCTGACACACACACAGTTACACACACACGGGGTCAGACGGGAGGAGTGTGTCAGTCTGAAGTGGTCTGTCAGTCACACACACACACACCTGCGTCTCTCTGAAGACGTACGGGCCGAGTGCTCGCTGCTGACTCACGACTCTCTGCGCTGCGTCTGGAGGAACATGGATCTGCAGCGCTGGCGGGATGCACGAACTGATGAAGCAGCTGATGATGATGGACACCTTCCTCTGGAGCGTGACGTCATCACAGCGGGAGTGACACAGATCCTACACACAGTTTACTGAACCTTAAAATCTAAAAACAAATGTTTGCAGGTGTGTTTTATGTTCTGTATTATATTTGCTCCATCAGGCTTTTATGGCTCATACAGTGAGAATATGGAGGAAAAAACAGCCCAATTTTATTCAGAGACTGTATGAATCTACAAACATAAATATCAGCATCTGCAGCAATGTAAATCAGTGAGATCTTTATAACAGTACAGCAGATACTGACATAAAATGCTCTAAATATCAGTCGTGGCTCTATATCTGCAGTAATAAGATGAGATGTAAATGCTCCAAACATATAATGCAGTGATTGAGAGCTGAAGAAATAAAGGCTCCTCAGAAGATGTGAGATGTTCTGGAGGCTTGTGAAGATCATTCCTCCGCTGAGGAACAGTGAAAGTAAAGCTTCTGGAAACAAACGCTCCTCAAAAGATCCTGAGGATCAGATTTGAGACTCTAAAACACGATTGATGGAGAATCAAGTAAAGCTGAGCTGCTTCAGTCCAGTAAGTGTTCATCTGGAGATATTACTGATGTTATTCTGACCTTTACTGGTTTAACAACATCAGGAATGAAGACTGAATTATCCACAGACTAAGACAGACGAAGCTCTTTCTCCAGATGAGTGAGTGGAGCGTCTCGTGCTCGTCTCACCTTGTATCTCTGAACCTCCAGCCAGAAGAGCAGATCGTTCTCCAGCAGATCATCACGAACAGACAGAAACTTCTGGAACTGCAGACGGGTGACGGGATTCAACAGAGCCCTGCGCAGAGCCACCGACTCCTGAGACGAGCTCATCAGACCTCCAGACACCTTACGCGCACACACACACACATGATCTTACACACACACACACACACACAGAGTTACACACACACACACACACACACACGTGTGCAGCTGGAACACACTGGACGAGATCTTCTAAATCATCTGGCAGGAATGTTACAGTCCCATCCTGACATGAGCGTGACGTACAGCGGCTCTTACAGTCACAATGATTATTAGACACAGGAATCAATTACAGACTATTAGCAGAGTTACTGATCTGGACGTGCTGACAGAAAAACAGCGACATTAATGCATGAACAGCACAATGTGTCCAGAAAGAAAAAAAATCACTATTCAAAAACTATTTCATAAAATAAATAAGAACTCAATTAGAAGACAAACTGACACTATTGAGGAGGAACTGGAGAAAACGGGAAAAATCTCTCTTTGTCCAAATGACAGGATCGTGTCAGAATGAAGATGGACTCACCTTCCACGCGTGTCTCCTCCTGCGCTGACGGACGACCGGCTGCTGCTCACACTCCACGTCTGACCCCTGCACACACACACACACACACACACACACACCTGTCACAGGACATGATGTCATCAGTGCCTCCAGTCATCAGAGGACGAGTGTGAGTGATGAAGCCGCACGAGAGAGATCCCACCATATATTTACATATTTATTCACTTGTCCTGCAGTTTTCTTCATGATATGTGTGAATGTCATTATGGATGTACACGAGCAGGAGATCACAGATTCACAGACACTTGGTTTGGTTTAATGCGAGACCTCTTCATCATCATCATCATCAGTGTTTAGTGCATGAGACGCGTCTCTGTCAGCTGCTGTCTGAGGATCTGATCAGCTGATGTTTTGGGTAATTACTGTAATTAGTGTAATTAGGAAACCGGAGGAATCTCAGGTGTAATTTGCTGACAGGTAACGTGAGGCGAGACGGACATCAGAGAACATCAGTGATCTGCTCCTCAGAACATCTCTCATCAGTCCGTCTGACAAGTGTTCTGAAATGTTATCTAATATGCAATAAAATGCATTATCTAATCAAATATGCACTAATTTGCATATATTTCCAGAACACTGGATAAAGCCAGGTTTGATTTTGTTGACAGAGTTAGAGGTTTTTGGTTTTCTCTTATTACTCAAATCAGAAAATACTGTCAACAACAACAAAAAACACACTTTCATATGTTTTTAGGAGTAAAATGTTGTATAAATCAGTGTGAATGTAAAAGCCTTCACAATATAGAGAGGAATAAATCTACAGTTTGCTTTAAGTGATGCTGAAGTGGAGATTTGTCTTGCCTTAAATAAACACAAAGATGTTTCTGGAAAAAGACATTACTTGGAAAAGTCATGGAAATTCTGGCTTTTTTATAATGATTATACAATTGACTAGTTATAACAAAGATAAGGTAAAAATTAAAACAAAAAAATCCTGATCCTTAATCCTTGTACAGTAAATCAGGAATGACTGGAAAAGTTGTGTAAATTAAAATTAAAAAGTGCAGGAACCCTGAAGAACATACAGCTCCTAAAACCTCTGCAATCCAGAAACTTATTTTCATTTTAATTAATATTTCAGTTACTTATTTTAATCTATGGACACTTCTAGTTTCTGTATGGCAGATGAACCACAGGAAGCGTTGTGCTCCGCTTCTGAATATTGTTGTGATGATGGAGGGCCTTGGAGTCAAAAGGTTTGAAAACTGCAAGACTACAATTAATTTGTTGTTTTGAAAATGGAGTGTTTAAGGTATCAGTATATGACGGGACTCGTTAACACTAGAGCCCGACCGATATGGGTTTTTTGGGGGGCCGATACCGATATTAGGAGTAAAAAATACTGATACCGATATATCGGCCGATATTCTTTATGTGTAGGCTATATTATAGTACAGTATGGTCAGAAGTTTGGACACACTTCTCATTCGTGTGTCCAAACTCTTGACTGGTACTGTATATAGAATACAGTATATAGCCTACATAAACAGAATATATATACATAAATTCATTTTTTGCAATGATAACTCAAATGTGGTGATCAAACACTTATAATGATGTGACAAACATAGGCCTATGTAGTGGAGGCAGGGTATTTAACAATTTAACAATAAACTTTATTATTCAAAATGAGTCTGACATCAGTGCACTGAACCGTAAACTTCACTTCACTTATTATAAATAACTTTAACACAAATAGAACAAAATATATTAAGAGATTAAACAAGGTAACTGTGTAGGGCAAGCAACCTACTGCCAAACCAACAGGAGCAGGTTTATGCAGGAAGCACAGCTTTTCCAAATGTAAACGTCTAAAATGAATAAATAATAATAATGAATAATATTTTTTTCACAAAATCTGTGTTGTGTATTTTCTGGTAATCCAATGAACATGCAGAATATTCGTATTTAAATCGTCTTTTTGCAGTTTAATATTCACAGACACAGTCTGTATTAGGGATGTCAACGATTAATCGATGAATTGTCGATAAGAGATGCAATCGATTAAAGCTATCGATGGTCGATTAAGTCGTTTAATTTTGGACTGTGTGCGGCTCATGTGCAAAACACGTGCGAGCGGCTGTGAGTGACGTTTGTTCCTTAAATAACCCATGATTTAACTAAAATGAGGGAACAAATTAATAAATCGAACGAATTCTTAATTCATGGCCATGAACTCTTTCATTTCCCATCCGCATGTTTACCACAGTAAGAGATGCGAAGACAGTGATAAAAAGACAATGACAATAAAATAAACCTGCGAAATTAGAGGGTTAGACAGTGAGGATTGGTCGCGATGTAAGATTTTCCAGCTAACCAATTATTCCTCTAATAAACAAAGCTTTTATACCACACTTGTCATAATCAGAGCTTATAATTTGTAAATAAATAATTGCTGGATTCAAAACAGCAATTAAAAGGCGCTGTGACCGACATTGACAACACGTTTTCCCGGAGCATTCAATG